AAGAAGACCTACACCAGCAATGCAGGGCACTAGAGACAGTGTTGACACATTTTTACATGCGGGATATTGATGCGAGTGATTTAGGTGATGAACTGAAAGCCCTTTCAAGATACATTTCAGCAGGATCAACTCCAAAGGCTGTTCTGGAATATATGTGCACAAATAAGATGACCACCCTCTTTCCAAATGCTTTTGTTGCTCTGCACATACTTCTAACACTTCCTGTAACTGTTGCCAGTGGTGAACGCAGCTTCTCCAAGCTGAAGTTAATAAAAACACATCTACGCTCCACAATGACACAGGAGAGGCTTGTCGGCCTTGCAACCATCTCAAAAGAGCATGAGCTGGCCCAGACTATGGACCTTCAGGAAGCAGTTCAAATCTTTGCAACCAGGAAGGCATGGAAAGCACCACTTCGATTATTCAAACAGATAAAAATGCCAGTGTTTACTATGCAGACAAGAAAAGTTACATTTGCTGTTCAGGCATTTGAAAGTTAAGTGTTACTTAAAATTTTTAAACAAGGCATTTTAAGTTGTTAATTCTCCTTTATTGGGGTAGCAGAGCAGTACCATGAGAGGAGTAGAACAGGAAGAAGGCAGAATTGAGACCTTTCAAAGTTTTGGCCTAAGTGAGGGGGCATGGAGGCATCATTTGAGCTCCCTGCCTCAGGTGCCAAAATGTTGTGGGCCGGCCCTGGGTACAGTCTGTGTTTATATTAGGCTGCTATTTTTAAAATAAATCCTCACTAAACATAAACTGGACATATTCAATATATTTTGCTTCTATTTTAGTTATCAAAGGCCCATGGTTTAAAATTACCCAGTGAACAGAGATAATTCATCAGAGTTTGGTATTATACAGCTGAATAAATTTATATGAGTACAATTTTAATAAGAGAAGATTGCAAAGGATAATTTAAAAAAAAAAAACCTAAGTGACACAGGAACTTAAGTTCCATTTTCAGAACAGTCTTAAGCACTTAGGAGCCTATGTCTCATTGGAAGTCAGTGGGACTTAGGGCACGTCTTCACTACCCGCCGGATCGGCGGGTAGCAATCGGTCTATTGGGGATCGACTTATTGCGTCTAGTGAAGACACGATAAAATCGATCCCTGATCGCTCTGCCGTCGACTCCGGAAATCCACCGCGGCAAGCGGCGGCAGCGGAGTCGACGGCGGCGCGGCAGCGGTCGACTTGCCGCCGTCCTCACAGCCAGGTAAGTCGACCTAAAATACGCAACTTCAGCTATGCTATTCACGTAGCTGAAGTTGCGTATCTTAGGTCGACCGCCCGCTGTAGTGTAGACCTAGCCTTAGGCTTCTAAGTGCCTATCTCACTTTTGAAAATGGAACATGGGCACCTTTCAAAATGTTACCCAAAACCTTTTAATAGCATATGTGGATGTCCAAAAAAATCCCAGATGAACAAAACTAATGGAATACTGAACTGTCTCCCAGACTTTAGAAAGAGAAGCCCATGCACTCTTGCTACACAGGTCCATTCTGGGATCATGCCATTACACCTACATCTAATGTTTAGGTCATAACATGCAAAAAATAGTTAACACATACATATGAAAATATAAAGGTTGGAAACAAGCCCATCAAAGCAGGACAATCCAAGTTAGTGGCATGCTGGCTAGAAAGCTCTTAAAAAGTCTATAAAAGCTTGGCACCATATTGTGCCTTTTAGAGCTTTCCAATTGTTGAAACGGAGATATCAATGTCATGTCTGAACACAGTTGTTGCTAATAATTCTCGTACAATTTCCCTGACCAGTATGGATAGGAATTATTTCAACTGAGTACAGAGTTAAAACTATAGAACTGCGCTACAGACTACTAGGGAATCTCATAGCCTGAAGCAGTGCTTCTCAACCTTTTCCATATTGGGACACTCCCCCTCCCCAGGAATCCTTTCCCATCTAGCAGGGATCTAACTGGGTGTCTCCTCCTATTTTGGTTATCAAGAAAAAGAAAGGCTGTCATAAACCCCTGACCCCTGTTCATGACCCCAGTGGTCTTTAGCATTTTTTGGTTTCCCAGAAAAAGAAAATCTACAATAATGAATGGTTGTGGCTGTCGTGGTTTCAACCATATTAAGGACAAAAACCTTATAGAAGGTTAGAACATGATTATGATTTCATTTAGCCCTCATGATCTCTACTGTAAAGATATACTAAGGGTTATGACATGTAAATGCATGTTTTGGTACTTTTTAAAATGTTTTGTTCACCCAGAAAAATCACACTTTTCAGTATGGATATTATCTACCTGAATGATTCCTTTAGATGCGTCTCTGGCTTCTCCAGTAAATGCAAGTCAAGTTTTACTTGCCCCATTCATGCATATAAGTCCACTTAAAGCCAGTGGGACCACTCACATGGGTAGAGCCAACAGGATGAGGGCCCTATATATGTTGATACATTTACTAGTTTAAAGTAAACATGTTTTACTTACTTTGAAAAACACACCTTATTAGCTTACGTAAACCATTATTTTGCAGATCTAACAGTGTTGGCTAAATACCAAATATGCTATAGTGCATGCATGAATTTCAAAGTCCAAGCTTCATGTAAACACAGAAGAGCCCCTTGATTAAATTTGTATTTAGATACTTTAGGGTAGCTTCATTCTCATACAGTATAACCTCACAGTACAAATCCAGCTAAACTCATGAACTGGCATGGTTGTTTAAAACGGGATATTATGATAGTACAAGTGTTGCATTTGCTAAACAACCTTCCTTGTTGATTTTTAAATGTTAATATCACTAAAATCTTTCTAAACCAAACAACGCAACCATCCTAAAGTTGCAACTCAAGCACTAATGACTATCATGCTGCTCTTGTATCAGCAGTAGTTTCACCATAGTTAAAGTTGTTAAAACTGAACTCTGTAACACAGGTATTTTAAACCTTTATTTTATCCAAATCTTATTGAATCAGCAGAAACTAAAAACACAGAATAGAAACTGAGCAATTTTGATTTTCATGGTCGTTTGATGAAAAATGAATTGCTTTGGTGATTTTTTTTTCCCCCCACTGGGATTGTCTCCGTTTGCATGCAATCTAAAACCCTCTGGAACCTGTTCTTTGGCACCTGGTTGTTTTTCTTGTGCTGTTTCATAGAATAGCAGTTGCACATTGGGAGTGTTTGTCTTCAAAGACTTTTATAACTTTTTAGTCACAAAAGGCAAACCCATTCAATTTTAATCTGATGACAAATCTGCTGCAGGACGAATGCCGTTCACTTCCAGTGTGCAAGGCGGGGAGATTTTCACCAGATACCTCTAAAGCTTAAAAAAATTCCCTGAACTGGGAAAGATGGGACCAGGAATTCAAATCTCACCTCTTAATTGTAAGTTACCATGCAATTCACTATCTTTATTATTGACTAAATCCACAAAACTTTTGTTTGCATTGTGCTGGGAATAACAACGTTGTTCTGCACCCAATGGCAGCTGGAATGTAATCTCGCTGTATTGACCTCACAAAATAGGGCTTTTAGCCATTTCCCCCCCTTACTTTGAAGAAGAAAACTCAAATGCAAGAGTCACTTGCACATGGAGTACCAGAGTTTAACAAATTACAACTTCACTGCAAAAAATATAATGTAACCTTATTTTCCAGCCATCTACTTGTCATACTCTGAAGGTTCAATCATCCAACTTCCTCACTAAGCCACTTTCATACTTTCCTTTCCAAATGTGAAGACAAGATAGTTTTCACATTTGACATTAAAAACAGCCATCATTTTTTAGTTTAATAACACACTCACATACTAAGAAGCAAGATTTATTCTTCACGTATTTCTCAGATGAAAAACCAACACATCCTTATCCCTGAGAGGGACATACAAGTAAAAGCACTACACACTGCCAGACGAGATTTGAGATTCTTTCTGCTCTGTCTACACTGGACAAAAAGTAATTAAAAAAAAGACATTGCTTAGAATGCCTTGAGATTGCACCTCTTGTGATGTACCTTTTTTCCACACACCACTGCCATCGCAGGAGTTTTTAATCACAAGTATTGGTTGCAGCACCTAGGATGAGGCCTTTTGTTGAGGTCTGGCTAAATAAGTATAGATTACATTAGTTTCGCTTCAGCTTAACACAAAGCCACAAGCATCACAGCTTCACTGGTTCAGTCAGTGCCAGCTACAACTGCCAATGTGCTGCCCCAAGTTTGAAAGTTATCCCCAAAGTCGCTACACTCGCAAGAGACTTGAGCATTATAGGACAAATGTTTCAGAGTCCCTGAATGCACTGCTACAGAGTGGCCAATGTGCGGTGTGGTTCTATCAAACAGTATTGATGCATGTACTTGCGAAACCAAAAGGTAAGTGATATGACAAACAATTTCACGAAATCAACACCCCTGCAATGGACGCTGAGTGTAGACATGCTCTTCAGGTCCTACCCAGTGACAATCAGAACTGCATTAATTATTCTACCCTCTAATTCTTGAAAGCGCTGTTTCCCTGTTAAGTATATCCATATAATTCCTTTATGAACATAGCTGTTTAAGTGTCTACACTACCTTTGGGGTAATATCCTACAAGTGCATTTCCTCTTGGAGGCAAACATTTCACTTCAATTGTCCTTTCAACAATTGTTTCCTTCCTTTCAGGTCATGTCCACACACAAGTGTTTCATTATGACCTACAATGAACTTTCAATACATTCGGAGATTTTGATGATCAGACCCATTCAGAAGTCTGCAGAGGCTGAACCTGCCCTTAAGAATCAGTCTCAGGAAACATTTTTAATGGACGCAAAAGATGAAGTCACAAACCAAAAACACCAAGTCTCCTAACCATGTCTTAAAGAGCAGTTTTTCTGTCCCAATACATTATACTGAGTAACAGCTCTTAGCTTAAAGTTAACTGCAAGTGTGTTTAAAAAAAAATCAAAAACTTCTATTCAGTATATAGCATTTTCTGCCACCATTAGCTGATGTTTATATTATCCAGTAAAAGCCATTATTCCACTTACTGTGCCACATCAGATACAGCAGGCAGTGGTGACTCCTCTGATATGAGGTCTATGTCATCGATGAAGCTGTTGTCCTGTGAAATTTCATTGCTGTTTCCTTCTAAGCGCCTTCTCACTAGACAAATAATTTAGAAAGAGCACAGTACATTAGGGAGGCAGCATCTTCAAATTCTTTCCCCTCACCCATGAATTTCCATAGTAGATCTTTTTTTTAAACAGTCCCATCATAAGACACTACATTTTTAGAGTAGATGCAATGAATTGTTTTGATAATTATTACACACGTATAAGCCACATGCAAAAATACAAATGTACACATATGATGTGGTACATACACAATGAGATCAAACACACAGGGACCCTCTTACAGTTAAGCATGTTTTTTCCTGAAGACCAACTTTCGCTCTAAGTGGAAGTTCACTATACGAAAAGAATTGCAATTTGGACACTGCAATGAATGAAAACAATTGGGAACTTTGATTTATTTTGCAATAAATAGTATTCCACTACATCCAGGTTCTCTATGAGCCAAGAACTGGGTCCATGAGGCTCCCAAGTGCCAGGCTTCACAGCCACTGAATATTACGAAAACCTTGAAGAGGGAATCATCACTCAGTGGCAAACGCACACTGCTTACACAGCCACTCAACTCTGTCAGCGTTGGATGCTGTGGAGATCATGAGCACGCACTGTGCTTCCCTGAGCTATGGGTGGGGAGTGGTGACAGGTTACCAGAAAAAGGGACAGCCAGTCAGAAAGGAACCTTAAAAGTCCTTGATCCTCTGTGCTCCCTGCTGACAGCTCACAAAGGGAACTTGGAACCAGGAAACAGAACAAAGATATTGGGCCAAAGACAAAATCTTCCCACCAGAATTAGGAGGAAAGAGACTATCCACACACAAAAACAAATATTGCAAGATGGGGATGTGGGAGAGAAAGAAGCCAGTTCAGAATCTGTCTCTCCCCTCCACTTCCTATAGCCACTTCTCATGGTCCCTCACTCAACCCCATATTAAATCAATGGTGCTAGAGTAGCAGGATGCATGGCAGGTTTCTGAGAAGGATACAGACTCATTTTCACCATGTAACTATCAATTTCTTGCTATACTTTTAATTTTAGCACTCAAATAGTTGAGACTGTGGCTAAAAGACATGTCCCATGTTATATGTTAACAGAGACCTTTTCAGTGGTGGGTGGGAAGAACTATGTAATTATATTAGAGGCTGTACAGCAGGTAGGCTGCCCAAGCTCATTAACTGGATATCCCTGAGAGCATTTTTTCCCCAACATGGTGTCTGTCAATAGGTTTATTCCTAGCCTGAATTTATGAACGTAAGTATTATGGTGAAAGACTATATCTTGTTTGGTGACCCCCCATATTCATGCCTTCAGGGCGGAAGATGAAGAGGATATAGGAAATGTACTCAATGCTAATGAAGATTAATAATTCTGGGCTAATGTTTCCATTCCCACCGATGGGGGAAAATGTGTAACAAACATTGTGCCAGTTTGATGGGGTAGAAAACACATCACAATGCTGCCCACTTGTGGGAGGAGTTTGAACAAGCCTGAAAAGAGTAGAGGGCAAGGCCTGACAACTTTGCAGATCCTGAAAATCTGTAATACATTGTGGAATAAAATGCAAATACTTCATGGATCTTGGTACATCCCTAAAGAAACAAAGGCCAACTCTGAGCTTTCCAAGCACACCTGTTGCCCTTGTAGCATGAAGTGGCTCATTGATCCACAGTTATGCTGGGGGAACCACTGGCAGCATTTTTCTTCAGGCTGTAGGAAATGGATATTTATTATAAGGCATGATCTCAGAACACAGTTGTTCTAACATCATGTCCTACCTGATTGATAACCCCATACAATATATGTTTCAATACATTACCACCGTAAATACAGCTTTTCAGAAGCTACATTGCAAGTACGTTGCAGAGCCACTATTACACCCTTTTCGTGTACTCTTAGCCATACTTGTGTTTAGTTCCCTCCAGGTTGTCCAAAGAGGGATACATACTTCTCTAGCTTTCTGAATAACCAGCTCTCTGCTCCTTCTAGATTTGTAATACATGCAGAGACATTGGCTTTCTAGACATAATGTATACACAAATTTTCAAGATGATGGATGTGTATGGAACAGTTTTTTAATTATTTCAGGCAATTTACTATGGGCCCATGTGTACAATCCTTACTCAAGTCTAACTCCTACTGACTTCAGTCCTCTAAATGTAGGGCTATTGGCACTGTTTCTCTGAGGTGACCTTTTTGGAGACGCATGGTATTGCATTTTTTCATGTTTTTCATTCCAGTCAAGAATAGTTAAAATCTTTCTATGATCTTTTGATAATCATCCATTTTCTTGCCTTCTTCTTGTATTTATCTTTTGAGTTTCATCTGCAATTGAGAACTGTTTGGAAGGAGAATGGTTTGGATTGATAGCACTATAATTTTGCTTAGGTGAAAAAAACTGATCATTTCGCTGCTTTCTTCGAGGCCAGACCAATATTAAGCATGTCATTTGAAGCAATAGGAAAAAAGGGAAAATATATAAATAAGTTTGTTATGACAAGAAATTAAAACTCTTTCAGTTAAGCTAAAAATCTGCTGATTCATCAGCTTCAATCATGAAAACTTGAGGTTCAATTTAGTCAGATTATGAGTACATTATAACCTGATGCTGGTGAAATTAAAATATCAACATTTGTTTTCATGCACTTTTTGGATAGTTCTTTTGGATCTGTATTATAAGCAGTATCCTGTTTCTCCAAAATATCTTGATGCATGAAAATGTCTCTCACTAATACAGCAACAAAAGAGAGATTGGGATAACAGGCAGTTCTCTGGTTATTTATAATTTCTGAACAAAAAATATCCACAAAAGTCCACATAATTCATTAAGGATGAAGGTTGCCATAGGTTGCCTTGTGAACCCTTGTACTTTGTTTGGCCTGCAGATTACACTTTAGACACACCTGCTATAAAAAGACATAAAATTCGGATATTTTATCACATACTGCATCAAGAAGTGTTAACAACAATTCAGACATTACAGCCTTTATCAATCCAGGCAACAGATTTTTTTTTTATTTAACACAGAATCTGCTAATAGCCAGAGTTTCCGTAGTTATTTTCAAAGTTGGTCTTGCTGTCAGGTCTTGATATTCTTTTGGCCTTACCCAATATATTGCATGCATTGATAAAGACAAATGGAAATTCATTCTAGTGGTATGATAGAGCAACATTTTATGCCACTATTTTCAAATGATTCATGGACTTATTAACTTAGTGGTTAAAAATCTTCTCTCTTTACATATATCTGTATTCACAGTTATCAGAAGTATTTAATGTTGTGATGGATTTAGAGCTTCCCTGTAATAATTTATTAATACTGTATGTTGGCCTGGTTACTAGTATAGTGTCTCTTATATGAATATATTGATTTAACTCAGGAAGGGTCTGTCTGGAGAACAGGCAGGAAAAAGAAGAATCGCTCCACAAAGCCACCTACCAGCAAACATTTAGCTCCCACAGGGGCAATGCCAGAACTTTGATGATTCTGTCTTTTCTTCTCCAGTCAACCTACAAAGCTAGATTTGACAAGGAAAGGCCAAAGCCCATGAACAGAGGAGATGCCTAGGCCACCATCATGCAGTACTCTAGCTGATAGTACTCTAGCTACATTAGACATGCATGTAGATGGTTTTAAAATCCTTTTTCTCTAATGCTTTGTTCCTAGTGCTATATAAAACTTTTGTTTTAAGAAAGCTGTTTAGTCACCATATACCACTGGTCCCAAAGGGAAGAACTGCAGGTGTCCATACTCAGTCAGACCCACTGGATACGCTTGGCAGATACAGACTACTACAGCCCATCTCCAGGTCTAAGAGTGGGAGAACTGCAAAATTCCTTGCTGGGATAGGTAAAGGTATGAAGCTTGGCACCGGAGAGAGTGCACTTAGAGAGACCTCAAAGGGGACAGAGGTGCAGCTAACCCTGTAACTGCAAAATAATATATTTTAAGAATTGAGACTAGCTAACACTTTAAAAAGCACTAGTACCTTATGTTCATTTCAATCAAACATAGGGCCTGACATTCACCTGCTATTCAAATAAATGGGAGTTGTAAGAGCTCAGCGCCTCTGAAAATCAGGCATACAATTCTTTGGATATTCATCAACAGTTTGTCTTTAAAACAATATAATAGACATTGCTTCATTTATTTCATGCAAAAACCATTGAAAATATCTATGGACATATATAAGTTTACTTAAATCATTTTGATCCGAAGCAACAAAATTTGTCAAAGCTGCTAATGAGCCAAACAGGTTCTATGGAAGTTCTCTTCTGCATATTTTAATGTTGATACTTCTAGAAAACTTGGTACAAACAACCGAGAGCAGATCTAAATACAAGGGACTAACTTGGAAAACATTGCCATGAAGTAACAATTCGATTCAACCAAGAACCACCATATGCATACTACCAAAGAAAAATAAGTGACTGTCCAGAAGAAAGCAAAGTGAAACACTAATTCATCACTGTTTGTGAATGTAATTGATTTAAAGTGAGCAGAAATGAGAAAGGCAGGTCCACTTAGAAAATTAAAGTTGTCAGACTCTCAGGTTCATCCTATGGCACCAGTTGATTGGCCTATCTTCAAGCTAAACACTAATGCATTTCACATCAATGCTGAAGAATGGAAAATCCATAGTACACATGCTAAGGAGTGAAAACGTAGGCCTGGACAATAGAGTTCTAAAATGGCATAACTGAACATTGCTAGCAGGACAGAAAACTAGGAAATAATTTAACTTACATCTGACTCAGACCTGCATTTAACCAGAGTTACTTTAAACTATGTTTTTAGGGAAAAACTAATATTTCTGGCACTGGAAATAGAACTCTGTGCCCTTCTAGCATTATTGCTGTGGCTGCTCCAAAGGAGCTCTATAGAATGTGACTTGTCAATTTTGCACTTGTTCTGACGAGCCACATTTCTATAAGCAAAGATTCCATTCATTGATCACGGTCTTAAGAAAAAGCAACTGAAGGATGCTACAATGTATGAAGTATCTTAAGGAATCACACAAGTATTTAGGATTAGACATTTTTCAGACCCCACAGAAGCAGCATCACTTGTGGCCACAGACAGAGGGTGAGGTTTGGCCTTGATATAAGGAAGGGTTTCTCCTCACAAAAAGCTATTAGAATTTGAAATAGTCTATCAAAGGAAGGGTAAGTCATGGCCTAAGTGTATTCAAGGGAAGAAGAGTTCTGTTAGCACCCCACAACACACTCTTGAGTATTCCTACTGAAATGCCAACGAAGGGACCACAGTTCAACCAGAGATTTAGGAGATGGCTGGATATACAGGTAGTAACTGTGGCCAGATATGCTTTCTTCCCTCTGCATTGAATAAGAAGTGTCCAACCTTTTATTTTCAATGCAGACTTTTCTATGATTATTCACAATCTTCTCAGCTAAAAATTAAACTAACGCTGCGTACTATCTGTTAGGACCACTTGGAAGCTGAAGTTAGTGCAGAATACTGGTGCCTGCTTATTAAACCGTGCTTTGATGCAGGGAGCACATTGCACGCTGCTCTGTAATCTGCACAGCTTCAAATACGGGTTGTTTTTTTTTTTGGTTGAGTTCAAGGTGTTCATCTTC